AATTATAGAAATTAAATAAACCAGGTATTAGAAGACAAAGATCTCATGATCTCATTATATGTGAAATCTAAGAGAATCAAACTCATAGCTGTAGAAAAAAAAAACAGAATGGAATTTAAGAGTCAAACTTACATAAGAAAAGAGTGGAGGTTACCAGAAGCTAGGAAGGAAGGGAAGGAATTAGGAATTGTCATTTAATGATTACAAGTTGCAATTAAGCAGGAATAAGCTTTGAAATCTATTGTATAGCAGAGTGATTAGAGTCAATAATGCAGTATATTATAAAGTAACTAAATGGGCTAGAGAAATGGCTCAGTGGTTAAGAGCACTGGCGGCTCTTATGGAGGACAGGGGTTTGGTTCCCAGTACCCACACAGCAGCTAACAAGTATCTGTAACTCCAGTTCCAGGGGAGCCAATGCTCTCTTCTGGCCTCCATGGCCATTACATGCAAGTGGTGCACCTACATACATGGAGGCAAAACACTCATACACCAAAAATAAATTTTAAAAAATTTTAAAATTGGGGCTAGAGAGATGACTCAGCAGTTAAGAGTACTGGTAAGAGAGTACTGCTTTTGCAGAAGACCTGGTTTTGAATCTGAGCACCCACATGGCAGCTAATAACCGTCTGTAACTCCGGTTCCAGGGGATCTGATGCCCTCTTCTGTCTTCCACAGGCATTGCACAACACAGGTGCACTTGCATATGTGCATGCAATACACACATAAACATAAAATATAAAGTGATCCTAGAGAAAAATCCTACCTCTGTCATATCTCTAAACAAGTGAAATTTCTTATGATATGCTAAATATAAATCCTTATATTTACAGACAAGGACACCATATACCACTCATCAAAGCAGCTTCCTTTCGCAACAGATGGAGGCAACTGCAGAGTTCCTTAAATGGTCACACACAGAGAGTGTATGTCTGAGAGATGCCCATAATTAGGTGACCTATCTACAGCGGAACCTCTACACCTAAGGCTCATGGAACATAGTGGAATGGGGGTGGAGAGAATACTAGTATATCCCTCAACTCTTACCAGCGAAGCTTCTTTATACAACAGAGTACAATGCACACAGAAGACCACAACTGGCTAAGTTCTAGAGAATAAGAGACTGCAAAGTCTGTGTTCTTGGATAGGACCCCTATATTAAACCTCACCCACTGTCCTAGTTTGTTTCTTCATTGCTGTGACAAAACATTCTGACTGCTACCAACTTGGGGAGGAAAGGCTTTATTCAGCTTACATCTCCCAGGTCGCAGTTCATCAGGGAGCCCAAGGTAGGAACTCAGGGCAGGAACCTAGAAGCAGGAGCTGGAGTACAGGTCATGGAGGAAAGCTGCTTACTGGTTTGCTCCCCTGGCCCCTGCTCAGCCTGCTTTATTATGCAACACAGGCCCACCTGCCCAGGGGTGGCACCACCCACAGAGGCTCCCTCAACCCAGGTGTGTCAAGTTGACACTAAAGCTATCCAGCACAATTGACCCCTTGTCAACTTGACACACAAACATCACTATTAAACCATAACTTTCCAATTTCTGTCCCCAAGATATGATGTTAATATCATAACATAAGACAGTACAACCTTAAAAACCCCACAGTCCTTAAAAATCCAAACACATAAAAGTTCATAGTCTCTTTTAAAAGTCTCAACTGTGGGTGGGCTTCTGTAAAATCCAAAACAAGCACAGCCTTGTTTCAAAGGGAAGAATCGGGCACACCTAAGCAAAACCAAAGTCCAGCAAAGTAGCTCAAGGCTGGGCATCTGGGATTTACTCATGATCTTCTGGGCTCCAAAGGGTACTGGCAGCTCCACTGCTCTGACTCTGCAGTCCACAACAAACATAGCTCGTCTTGCAGACCGAGGCCAGCTCCACTCCACACTTACTGCTGTCCTTGGTGGTCGTCCCATGGTCCCGGCATCTCCAAAAAGCTGGGGTCTCCACTGAAACTGAGGCTACACCTTCACCAATGGCCTCTTCTTGCCTCTTGGGGTGCAAAGCCTCATAATCTCTCCATGACCCCTTCAATCCTAGGGTCTTCGCTGCAACTGAAGCTGCACCTTCACCTATGGCCTTTCCTGGCCTCTCAGAGTGCCAAGCCTCAGCTGCTCTCTGTGACCCCTTCATGCTTTCAACACCAGAACCATGCAGGAGACTCTTACACATTACCAAGTCCCGCTTCCAGCTTGAAATAGAGGTGCAGGTCCCCTCTGTGTGCTGACCCTGAGGAAATACCTCCCAGAAGACTTCACCACAGTGATGCTGGTCTCTTGTTACTTACAGCTGATTTTTCAGCCCCAGCTAACCAG